AAATCTGAAAGCTTCCTGGTTTTCCCCACATAGTTGAAAGTTCAAGATCTTGCCCCCACACCCACAAGTCCATCCCTTGGTCCAATTTCCCACTGGCATGCTGGCAGTTTCACCCATCCAATTCCGGTCAGGTGCAGAGGTGCAGAGACAAAGGATGACCTTGGCTTTCTAGAAATAATTTTGTTATGTCTACAATGCATCTCACTCCTACAATCCCCCCTCCAATTTTCCTACAATAGAAAGTGCATAGTAGAATGGTGTGGCAGGCCAAAGATCCAAAAGAAAAGATGGCTGCAGGCCTGACAAATGCACTTTCCAATAAAAAGATCAGCATGGGAGAAACAATACGATCACAGTTGGGATCAGATTTTCCATTGCTAAACAAGGGTGTGTTAAGTGAAGTCACTTCTGATTTTACAACTGTTTTTTGCCACAGTTAAGCAAATTACTTCAGTTGTTAAGTGGGGTTACAATTGCCACAGAACAGTGAGGTTGCCATTGCAATAGCAATAGCAGTTAGACTTGTATACCGCTTCATAGGGCTTTCAGCCCTCTCTAAGCGGTTTACAGAGTCAGCATATCGCCCCCAACAATCAGGGTCCTCATTTTACCCACCTCGGAAGGATGGAAGGCTGAGTCAACCCTGAGCCAGTGAGATTTGAACAGAAGAACTGCAGTCAGCTGAAGTAGGCTGCAGTGCTGCATTTAACCACTGCGCCACCTCAGCTTCATTGATAAATGATGCAGTCATAAAGTCTGACATTACATGACCAGATAACTTAGCAATAGCGATCCAGGCTCTGCTGGTTGTAACCTCAAGACGTGGGTTGTTAAGCAGGAAGCAGGATGGGTCCAGGTAAAGAATTGGGGAGCGGGCACCATATTGGATGGGAGAGACCAACACAGGTTTTGCACAAGTTGAGGAAGAGTGCTGCAGTACATTGTGAGCTCAGATAAGCTGCGGAAGGTGGGCGCATGGATTGGGGGGAGAGAGGCTACCCAGAACTAAGGAGAGATTTTCTGATAGTTAAAACAATTAACCAGTGGAACAACTTGCCTCTAGACGTTATGAATGCTCCAACATTGGAAGATTTTAAGAAGAGATTGGATAACCGTTTATCTGAAATGATACAAGGTTTCCTGTCTGACCTAGAGTACTACATCCAGTTTTGGTCACCCCACTATAAAAAGATATTGAACTCTAGAAAGAGTGCAGAGAAGAGCAAGCAAGATGATTAAAGCAAAAAAACGGTTGCAGGAACTGGGCATGGTTAGTCTAGTGAAGANTAACACTACAAACAGTGTATATTGTCTGTACTGTTTGCTGTTTGTTGCAAGGAGGCAAATTGCTGGGAGGCAGAGGCAGATATTTTTCCCTTGTTTTCCTCCAAAAGCTAGGTGCATCTTATTCTTCGGAGCATCTTATGCTCCAAAAAATACAGTAGTTAAAATAAAACTTTGCAGAATTGTAAGCAACATTTGTGGCTTATCTGCATCGCCATTTCATTACAGTCTTTGTCTTCTCTATTGTTCCTTTGTTTTAAGCTTCATTTTTTGTTTTTGCAAAGAAAAAAAATAGTTACAATAGCCTCAGTGGGGAACACTTCAGCCCAGAGATGACTTCTGAGATAGTTGTGTAATCAAACTGTAATTTAAAAAAATAATTATACAAGAAATGAAAAATCTTGCAAGACCCTGTGATCAATTCCCATCAGAATTAATTCATTAGCTAATCGGCATTAATCTTTGGAGTTCCAGTCTTAAAAGATAGTTCACGCTTTGTTTCTCTCTCCAGAAACAGGTGAGGACAACAGTGAGAATTGTCAGGCGCCGGACACAGAGTCTTCGCAACCAAAGAGGGCTAAAGTGGAAAATGAGATTTTTGAGAACCGCTGGAGATTAGGAACATTTGGGGAAAGGAAGAAAAGAACATCTAGGAAGAAGAAATCACCAGCTTCCCACCGTGCTGAAGTCCACAAATTCCTGACTCAAGGGGATCACACCGGAAGCCAAAACGAGAATTCCCTACCCTATGGGGGGATACCCAGGGATCAGTCCGAGAGATGTAATCATTGTGAAACTAAAATTAGAGACAACAAGTGCGAGTGCAGACAGCAGGGAAACTATTCCAGCCAAAGCTTTGCTTTGACATCATGTCAACAAACCCATCCAGGGTCTGCAGAGAAACCTGAGACATTCAAAGAGTGTAGAAAGAGCTTCAGTAGGAGCAGGAGCTCCTGTAAAGAGCTCCACCCAAGAGAGAAACCCTGGAAATATGCCGAGTGTGGAAAGAGTTTCAGGTGGACGAGTGAACTCTCTTCCCATATTGGAATCCATATGGAGGAGAAACCATTTCCATGTGCGACATGCGGAGAGAGTTTTATATTGAACAGTGACCTTACCCAACACAAAAGAGTCCATACCGAGGAGAAACCGTACAAATGTCTGCAGTATGGGAAGAGCTTCAGCACGAGCCAAGAACTGACTTTTCACGCAAGTAGGCACATGGAAGAGAAGCCCTACCAGTGTAAGGAGTGTGGGAAGAGCTTCAGATTGAGCAGATACCTGACTTTGCACAACCGGATCCACACGGGAGAAAAACCGTATGCATGTACAGAGTGCAGCAAGAGTTTTAGCACCCATAGTGCTCTTTGCAGTCATAAAAAGGTCCATTCAGAGGAGAAACCCTATCAGTGCGCGGAATGCGAAAAGAGCTTCCGGTGGAAAAATCAGCTAAGATCTCATCAAAGTATCCACATGTGGGAGAATTTGTATAAATCCACGGAGAGTGGAAAGAGCTTCGGTTTCGGCAGTGACGTTTCTCCCCTTTCAGGCAAAACTCCATATATATGTACCGTGTGTGGACAGTGTTTTATTGACCAGGGTGTCTTTCGTACCCATAAAAAAACACACGTAGAAAAGTCCTATATATGCCCAGAGTGCGGAAAGAGCTTCTGTAAAAATTACACGCTTACTATTCACAAGAGGCTCCACACGGGAGAGAGACCTTATCAGTGCATGGAATGTGGGAAGAGCTTCAATCAGAAGTACAAGCTTACGACTCATAAGAGGATTCATTCGGGGGAAAAACCCTATAAATGTGGTGAATGTGGAAACAGCTTCAGAACTTCTGATAGCCTCGCTGCCCACACGAGGCTCCACACAGGGCAGAAACCTTACAAGTGCAAAGAGTGTGACAAGAGCTATAGCCGATGCAGCAGCCTCTCTGCCCATAAAAGTACCCATAACAAGGAGAAGCCCTACAAATGTCTGGAGTGTGGAAAGCACTTCACTAGTAACGTGAGCCTGGTCTGTCATATGAGATGCCACACTGGCGAGAAGCCCTATAAATACAGAATGCCTGAAAGGAGCTTCAGTCAATGCAATAACCTCACTTCCCATCAAAGGACCAATTCAAGGGAGAAACACGAATCCATGTATGACATGTGGGAAAAGGTTCAGGCAGAGCAGCCACCTTGTTTCCCATTCTGAAGGAATAGTGTAAGACGGAGATCCCCAATTTTTCTGGTGTTGCGGATAAGGGATGAGGAGATTCTGCATGAAGTGTGCAGTTCCATTTGCATGACCAGTGGGCATATGCACCTGCCGCTTGGGCGAATGGACCACATGTGTATGCATGCTCATCGACTACTTGCACAAGTAGGGATACGGACCCACGCTCGCCTGCCACATCCACGGCCCAGTTCCAAATGGCTCAAGGCTGTGGGTTGCTGCTCGGGTTGGGGACTCCTGGTGTAAGAGGAAATGAGTTGCACTTTTATTTCATAATTAGCTTTATGTTTTGTATTTCTAAATTGCTCACCTCCCTCAAAGATGAACTTATATGAACTTATATAAGACAACCTATAAACCCAACAAGAATGCTGTCTTCTTCTCTTCCTCCATCTTCCCTAAGTCTTTACACCACCCAGGTTCAAGTCGGTACTGGGGCTCAGGACCCCGAACAACCTCCTGAAATTTGGGGTAGCTGGTGAAGTATTTTAATGGAGATTGGGGTTAATGTCAGGGTTCCAAATAGCATCCAAAAGTAAATCAGAGTCCAAGGCAAAGTATTGCTNCCAAATGAGTTAGATTCCCCACCATCAGTAGGCCGAGGAGCAGAGACAGTGCTATTATTGTAGACGTCCCTCAAAGACGGGATCAGTGGTGGCCTTCAAATAATTTAACAACCAGTTCTCTTTCTGGTTGATGGGTGGGCATGGCCATGGTGCGCGTGGCCTAGTCAGCCTCCTGCATCATCCTGGGAGTGAAAAAAGGGGTGTGGCTGGCTTGTTTTTCATCTCCCCGGGCTCCGGAGGCTCTCCGAAGGCCAAAAATAGGCCCATTTTCTGCCTTCCTGAGCCTCTGGGAGGTCCGTTTTCCACCCCCCTGGGCTCTACGCACTCCCTGGGAGCCATGTGGGGATTTCTGGGAGGAGAGGGGTGGCGCGGGGCCAGCCAGTTGTCAGAACTACAACCGGATGTAAAATTAACATCCGGTTCACCCCAAATTGGTCCGAACTGGCTGAATCCCACCTGTGGATAGGAAGTTTTATCATTTGGTAGAATTTGATCTTGGAGCTCAGCAAACCAGGTTTGGCCTCATCCAAACCAAACCAAGGTGCATAAAAGGAGACACAGCTTTTGAATTCTCCTCTTCTCCGATGAGTGACCAGGTTAAATGAATGTTGACATGGGCTTTAATATATATCTTGTGTAGGAGAGCATGGTTGAGCCCCAGATTGCTACCAGAAGCTTACCAGAAAAGTTATGAGATGTATGATGCTTAGGCATTTAATTTTAAATTTCGTCATAAGCCAGTATAGGTAGACGTTGAGATGGCGTAGACTTTAGAAATGAAATTGCCCCAAATGGAGGTTGGTGGAGAAAATGTGTTGACCAGCCCCAAGATCTTTTTTTCTGACCTAGGCTTCCTGATTTTTACTTCCAGAGTAAAAAATCACACACTTAGTTCCCAAAACCCCTCTTTTTATTTCAACCACTGTGAATTATGTTCATTCACAACCCATAATGAGTCACAAAGAGTTTGTAAAGAGTCCGACAGAAGTCCGCCAAAGTCTTTCGGAATAAGGCTGATAAGGACCCACCTTTATCTCCCTTGAAGCGCTGCCAAAGACCTAATTGCCAATTAGCTTTGCAAGGCCACACGGAGCACAGAGTCAAAACGGAGCTTCAGAGTTTAAGCCGACCATAACGAACAAAGTTGCTTCCCGCAAAGGCTCCTGTGCCTTTGCTCCTCCTTTACGTCTTATGGGAGGGGCCAATCATCTCCAAACCTTACTCCCGAATTGCCCCTTTTGTCTTAACTGTTCTTCTGGCAGCTCTGCACATACACACACTGGGAACAGGCTCTCCCTGTTCCTCTGCCTCGCTGATGTCTGACTCTGGAGCTTCGGAGGCAGAACATAACTCCCAGATGGCCCTGGCCCCCTCTCTCCCTCTGATGCAGAGCCCTTGTCCGAGCCTTCCCCAGACTCCAGGACTAACCTATGTTCCTCCCCAACCTCCTCACTGTCCGAATCTGCTGCCACCTCCGCTGGCCCCTGAGGGACCACAACACTTTCCCCCTCCCCCCCAACTCTTTTCTTGAGAGGCCTTGATGATTTCCCCACAGAAATTAAGTGAGGAGTCCTGGGTGCTTTCTGAGCTTGGTTAAAGCTCAGAGAGCACCAAGGGCCCCACAATACAACCCTGAGATCCAGAGAGACTCTTCCCTTGGACAGGCTCATGTTTGGCCAGGACTTCTCCATAAGCCGTGAGTCCCAGACAATGTTGCAGGATTTCAATTCCCAAACTGACCATCCAACAACATCTCCTAAAACGATCGTACAATTCTGGAAAACATAAAAGTATTCCAGAACTAGGAGAAGACCAGAAGGTTTTTCTGGCTGTCATTTGTGAATGGAGTTGGATCTCTGAAGGATGAAGGTCAGGAAGCTGGTTGGACAGATCTTAGGGGCGGTGGGGGATCCTTGGTGCTCTCTGAGCTTGGTGGTTTTCTTGCAGACGTTTCAACTCCAAACTAAGGAACATCAGGAGTAATGAAACATCTCCAAGAAAACCCACCAAGCTCAGAGAGCACCAAGGACCCCACAATTTAACCCTGAGCTATAAACATTCTCTGAGTTGAGAACTTACCGTATTTTTCAGAGTGTAAGACGCATCTTTTTGCTCCCTAAAATAAGGTGAAAATTTGGGTGCATCTTATACACTGAATGTAGCCCCACCCTTTGGCCTCTGCCTCCCAGCAATTTACCTCCTTGCAGCAGCAAACAGGGAAAATGGGGCTTGCGGAGGCTGCAATCGGCTATAGCAATCCCTGCAGCCTGAAACAGCTGATGATCCGGAGGCCCAGGCTGAAACTGAAAGTGAAACTTGCTGTTTGCTCCACAAGGCAAATTGCTGGGAGGCAGAAGCAGATTTTTGTTGTTCTTGTGCTAATCAGGCTGTTTGCTGCAAGGAGGTAAGTCAATAACTGTAAATGCCTATCGAATGTTCAAATGATTAGACTTATTTTTTTAAAGACTGCTTTATCATTGTTCTAGGCAGCTTAACAAAATGAAGAAGCTTTTTAAAATAAATGCTAGATCTGAAGAGGCCCTGTGCTATTGTATCTTCTTTTAAATAGCA